TATGACATTTCCCCTCCTCTTTCCAGGTTTGGAGGAGATTTATGGATGTGTGTGTGAGTGTGTGTGTGTGTGTGTGTGGATATATGGATGGAGAGATGGGTGGAGAGATAGGTCGGTCGGTCGGTCGGTCGGTCGGTCGATCGATAGATGATAGATAGATAGATAGATAGATAGATAGATAGATAGATAGATAGATAGATAGATAGATAGATAAACAGATAGATAAATAGCAAGATAATAAATGAGGTAGGTAGGTGGGTGGATGTGGTTGATTGACAGACAGACAGACAGACAGACAGATTCTTGATGTTCTTTACATATTTTCTTAAACATTTTCTTTGGTTAGAAATAGTAAAAATAGATTAAATAAAGCATCTGACATGTATCAAGATACTGGATTTGGTTTTTCCAATAGGAAGATCTAATTATGGGAAATGTCCAATAGATCCACAGTGTCAATCCTTGAATGCATGGTGAAAACATAATCATGTTCTAATGATACTTATTCAGCTGAGCACAACTGTTAGTATGCAATCACCACATTTCTAAACTGGCTTGCTCCCAGGGAATTCTGGGAGTTGCAATCACACCAGATCTTTAAAATGTCAAATAGGAAATCCATGCTAATTCAAGGGAATGCTTAAGAGAGGATAAAGCTTGTTATAGGAGGGACAGAAAAGGTTATAGAAAAGATTCCTTAGTCAAGAAAATGGAAGAAACATGAAAAAGTAACTCTGCCTTAATCCAATTAGATACATGTGGATATGGAGAATTTCTTTGGCAGGTGTTCAAGTTTCTCTTAAAATGTTTATTCCTGAAATCTGAATAGTACTTGCTGAATTTGCCAACTGAAAGAGCTTGACACCAATTCAGTGTTAGCTTTAGATTTTTAGCGTAGTGGCATACAAAGAACTGCATCAATTATAGCCCAAATAATAGGTGAAGAGTAACAACCTTAATATATATAAGTTAACAAAGTTATTGGGCAACAGCATACAAATTTAATAATCAGTAAATATCTATTATAGAATAACAAATTTGCATATTACAAGAAAGATAAGCTGTGGAACAGACAAATTAATCAAATTAACTTAAAAAGACTTCCTAAATATGTAATAACTGGCCAAAAATATGTTTTTGCCAGGAAAATATCCTCCTCTAACATTCTTATTTTTATCTATCAATATTTCTTCTAGAATGTTCTCAATTGTCTAGCTTTTTTAGCTGAATCTCATCTTTGATTATTTACTGGCTGCAATTTGTCTGTTCTTTTCTCCCCCTCTTGTTAGCTTTCTTTCCAGTTGTTTAGGAACTAATTTAAATGTAAATCAAAGTCCAAACACTTCCTCAGAATTTGAACACACCCAATTCCTTTATTCTTTGTGATAGCAGCATTAACATTTTAATACCATTTTGTTTATTTTATTTTATCTTTTGTACTAATTTATATACACCTCTTGAGAATCAGCTGCATGGATTGTGAAAGTTAGACACAGACCTCCAATGAGGAAAATAAATAGTGTTAGGAATGCCAAGAAAATCACACACCTCTCTCCTAAGTAGAGTTTCCCAAAGAAAATAAATTGTCAACTCAATCAAAGTACATTTAGGCACCAAGGAAAATTGATTAGGGCATTAGGAGATAGTAACCTGCTAAGGTGATAAAGCCTAGAGTAAATTAACTTAGATTTAACTTGCTAGGAATCCTGTCTTTGTGTACATTAATAAACTATTGTATTTATAGCACCATCCACATTAACTCACCATCACACACACACACACACACACACACACACACACACACACACACACCCCAGGGTGAGTTCCAGCTTCTTTTATTGCTGGTTTGCTCAGCGATGCGTAGTAGTAAAAAAACAAGATGGTGGTGCCATAGTCGCCACTAATAGAATCTGTTTGGACATGTGGGTGGCCGAGTTATTATCTACTTGGCCAAACCCCTCTCTCTCACACACACTGTAAAGCAAGTCATGCTGGCCACATGACCCCGGAGAAGTCTTCAGACAGTGCTGGCTCTTCGGCTTTGAAACGGAGATGAGTACTGCCCTCTAGAGTTGGGAGCGACTAGCACATATGTGCAAGAGAGAGAACCTTTGATTAGAATTTCCATAGTTGATCCTCAGTGCACTGTTTTTAAGATATACCAATCTTCCCTTCCTCTTCTGTTACATATTTTATATGTTAGGAGTATAATAAAATAAACTCTTGTCCTTAAGGTGCTACACAACTTATTAAAGTTTAAAATTTATATAGAAGAGACAATGGCTCAACAGAAGCCCTGTTTCATACTCTGATACGAATTTTATTAGACAGTAAAATTTTCTTGAGAGAGACATCAAAATTTCACATTAAAGAAAAACAGATTTTTATTTTACTACGACTATTTTATTTTATTTTAGGGTGGGTAGACTTCTTTAGGGAGACCACAGGTATTGTCTAAAAATGTGGATTTACGCTAAGAAACAAGACAAAAAAGAAACTGTGGCAATTCATTGGCATTGCTGAAGTACACGGCCAATTTTGAAGGCAAAACTAATGTAAACTGTTGTAAATAAAATTAGAAAACAAGTTTATTTATTTATTATTTATTTATTAAATCGATTTATAGGCGCCCAATCCTGGAGGACTCCGGGCAGAGTTTACAAATGATAAGATGATTGAAGGAATGTTCAATGTTTATTAAAGTGAAGCATGGAGGAAATAGTAATCTAATTAAATACTGTTAATAAGACCTACAGTACATTGAGACAAATGGCAAAACGTTTGTCTATCTTGTAGGCATAAGCCCTATTTCAAATGTTCCTGGACCGTGCTTTAACATGAGTAGCTTTTTTTATAAGGAAACATTTTTGGATTTGAGACAGAAAATTCAGATTGTGCCTAGTACAAATTACACAATATTGAGGATATGTCTTTACATAAATCTACCTTTGTACTAGCCTGGTAACTGTGGTAGTTGATACACTCCATCTTATGGAAGACTCAACACAGGGAGTTTCTATTCAACGTCTATGGTATGAATAGTATATTACAAATAAACATTAATGTGAACATTTCTTCTAAGCTTCCTAATAATTACGGTTAGAAAAAGGCTACATTTAAATATTGTTTGAAATTTAAGAGGAAGGGGATTTTTCTATAAAAATCTTCCTGGTTAGCTATTTAACTTTGCACGTGGGTTAAGGATTTAACTTATATTATTACATATCATTAAGTCATATCCAGATCTCCAGAGTGAATGGCTAGAGGTCCAATGTCTTCTCTCAATGGCCTTCTCTGTCCCTCTACACTGATTCCTCTTGTTTTGGGGGGCAGGTTAACACTTTCTGCAACTACTGCCTAGGTCAGTGATGGCGAACCTTTTCAGGACTGAGTGCCCAAACCAAAATGTGCATGCATGCGTGTACATGCGCCAGAACACCAGAAATCCAAAGGCCAGTTGCATTTGAAAGATATGCAAACTGGCCAGCTGGTCTTCGGGTTTCTGGGGCGCATGAAGACAAGCTGGCCAGCACATACATGCACACCAGCTAGCTGGTCTTCAGATTTCCGGCACTCTGGTGCATGCAAAGACCACTTGGCCAGCGAAAATGCATGCACCGGAAACGAGAAGATCAGCTGCCGATAGTGCATGTGTCCACAGAAAGGGCTCTGCATGCCACTCTGGCATCCATGCCATAGGTTCACCATCACAGGAATAGCTCTGCCTGGTTTCCAGCCATTTATTTCAGTGTACAAGACAGAAATTCAGATTCCTCCTACTAATTTCATTATAATTTAGTGAATTTTTAAAGTATACCAATCAGTGTTTCAGGTTTTCTCACTGAAGCGTAACTAACTAAAGAATGCTGTTTTTCCCCTCCTTTTTTTTTTTTTTTTTTTTGCTCCATACAATTCTCATTTAAAAATTAAATCCTTCCAGTATAGAATAACAATTTTTTCCCCAAGGATTAAACTCAAACACTAGAGATTCAAACTTACAATTTGAAATGTCAATGTGCTGAAATGTGACTTTAGGTCACTCTCTTGCGAAGAAGAAATCTACTTATCTTTTGGTTACATTATTGCTTTATTGGTGAAAAAAAAAGCTCATTCTAAACTACCAGCCTTTGGTGTTTCTCACTTGATTTATTATAGATCTTAACTTTGAAAAGGCAGAGAGAACAAAAATCCCACCCTCCCTTTATGAAGGGGAACAGCTTATTGAGCTAGCAGAAGGTCAGTTGCCAGCTCCTGCAGAAGCTGTTCACAAGACAAAGAGAATGAGAAAGACAGTTAAGTTGAATTCATAATCACTTTAAAGGCTCTTTCCCATGATTGACAACTTTTTAAATGATTTATTTTATAGAGGCAAAAAATATTAATAATTTGAATGAACAATTTCAGGATCTGAATAAAATAATAGGCAAGCTAAAAAGTTTGCTGACTGAATCACATGGGATCACGAGATTACTGCCAAATCTCTATTGCTATAGGAGAAGGTGAGGTTGGTGACAAGAGAGGATTCAGCCTAGAATGGTTGCATGTCCACAGATGCTCCAAGTTCAGCCCTTTCCCTTGATGGGTTTCTAAAATAGCAACTTGTATATAATTTTAGAGGGTCAAGGTTAGAATCAAGCTAGAATCCCCCCCCAATTATCAGCAATGTGTCAGGGTTCCAAGTAACACCCCCAATGAGCAAAGACTCCGAGGCTTGAGTTTCCTCAAAGCTCCATTTTATTAGAGATGTCATATTGGTACATCTGGCAAACCTGAATCTGAAAACTTCCAGGTTCCCTCCCCCCAAGTGAAAATTCAAGTCCCTGCCCAGCACCCACATGTCCATCACAGGGTCCAATCAGGCACCGTCCCAACTGGAGATGCCTCCCAGTCACATCACTGCAGGTGCAGAGCAAGATCTCCTTGACTCTCTGAGAAAGGAATGTTATTTAGACTATATATCTCCCATACTCCATATAATCCCCCCTCCCATTTTCCCACAGCAGAAAAATGTGGCAGGCCCGAAGGCTCAATGTAAAAAATGGCTTCCAGGCCTGACAGAGGATAGTAAAGCTGGTTGCAGTATCTGTTCAGTATCTCGTGATTCCTCTGCCCTTCAGGTGAACGAGGCCGAGGAAGAGCGCCTGCGCAGCGAACGGGAGCACCAGCGAGTCACCCAGCTCTGCCAGCAGGCTGAGGCGAAGGTGCAGTCGCTCCAGAAATCCCTCAAGCGAGTCATTCTGAAGAGCAAGCCCTACTTTGAGCTGAAGGCTCAGTTCAACCAAATCCTGGAGGTGAGGCTGACCTTTGACCCCGCCCTAAGTCCCTTGCCTATGTTCAAAAAGATTGTGGGAGGGGGGGAGCAGATGTTAATCTTTGCAAAGCCGAGTCTATACAGGTAGTACAAGAGTTCAATTAGTGACCATTCAAAATTACAATGTCTCCTAAAAAAGTGACTTGCAGCTGTTTCCCACAGTTCTGACTTTTCAAGGAGCCTCATGGTCATGTGGTTCATTTCTTAACAACTTTGGCAAGGAAGATCATAAAATGGGGCAAAATTCACTTAAC